AGCTCTCTAAAAAGATCTTGCAAATTGTACAGGCCCACTCACACCTAACATTGTCAAGATCATTGCTCAGGCTGCAACAGAGGTGAGTAGTTCAAAATCAGGAAAAACCTGAAATAAATACCAACTGTGTGATGGAAAACACTTTGGCTTATGCCCATACAGCCTTTGGTTCCTCATGCACCAGCTCCCAACAGCTCGTTCAATGTGCAGCAGAAGCAGTGGCCAAGTGGACACAAACTTTGTTTTCTCCACAGCTCAGTGCCTGATTGAACTTCTCCACACATCAGACTTATTGTGGAAAATAAATCCTCCCTTTTCCAATAGCTACATGGAGGAACTTTAGGTTTATAAAGCACATATTAGAAAGCAACATGCTGGTCCCTGGGAATGGTGTGAGCACCTGTCAGCTCCTCGGCAGCCGGGCTCCAGTGCCCAGCCCGCACCGAGCCCTGCCCGCAGAGCCGGGCCATGGAGAAGCCACTCGGATTTCACACACCAACCTATAGTTAGCAACTGAACCATCAAGGTTAAGTCTTGGGTGTCCTTCAGCTCTTTGTGAGATTTTTGACATGTGAGCGGGAAGCACAGGGCAGCTGCCGTGTTCTGTGCTGGCACAATCGAACACCTCACACACACACACAGACGGTGAAAATGCAGCTCCTGCAGCTTCACCCAGGGATGTGCAGCAGGGGCTGCTGCCTTTGTGGTTCAGGAAACAGCTTGCAATCACTGACCGTGTCTCATTTTCAAACAAAACCATGAATCACAGTAAAAGCAAGAATCCATTCAAATCCAAGGAGTCATCAAAAACATTTCATTCTCTCTCAGGTTTCACCTGCATATGGTTCAGCCACCAAAAATCTGAACCACTCTTTTAAAAAAAAATTAAAATTCAAAATCCTGTTATTACAGCTGTCCCATAAAATACTGTAATGGCACAAAGTTGTTTTATAGGGACAGCTGCAATAATATATTATGCTTGCAGGAAATCTTGAGCCAAAAGTTGTGCTACAGTATTTGCTTGATTTTTTACTTATATTTTCTCTTTTAAGTGTTCTCCCATTAGCTGTACAAGTAAACTGATGATAAAGCAATATCAAACCAGAACTGACTGTCTATTTTGGCATGGCATGAAAAACTGCAGCGCTCTCCTTACTATGCCCCACACCAAGTGCCAGACATTTTTCTTCTGTAAATAAGAATCTTGTCCAGGTTATGGGCTAGAAGAATGTAAAGGGAAAGGTCTGAAATATTCAGACAGAATTCTGAAGCTTAAACTTTCAGCATAGTTCTCAAAGCAACACGATGATATCAGTTCACAAATAGCTTAAGCACAAGTCCAGCACAGTGGTAGCTGTCTCAAGCTACGTAACGGGCCTTTCAAAAGAGTATGAAGTAACAGAACTGAAATGTATTTGGCAAGATGCCACCACCCAGATGAGAGCCCAGCCTCACAGATACGTACAGTACACAGCAATTCATCAGCTCATACTATGTGGCACTGACATTTCTTCTGTCAAACCAAAAATAGCTTTAGCAAAAGTTAATTGAGCCCCACATGTGGAGCTTAGTAAGGCCTCAGCACGTTACACAAACTGCAATATTTCCCCAGAAAAAAAAAAAAAGAACAAGAAAAAAATTTAAAAAACTAGTTGAGGAACAACAAATGAAACTTTCACATTCATCAGCAGTGAAGTGAAAGCCTTCTGGGAAGGAAGGAGACTCAGGACAGGGGTTCAGAAAATAAAAACCACGCAACTGCTTTCCAAGTAATGCAAAAGGAAGTACCCAAGCAGGCAGGCTTCCTCCCGGGATGCAGCACGTCACCACAGCTCCTCAAGCCTTCAAATTCCACGAAGACCTGGAGTATCTTGTCCTACAGAAGGGTACATGCTACCCTTTGCACACAGCCCATCCACCCAGGCTGGCAGAAAAACACAGAAACCCTATCAGGGGCCAGATTCTAAGTAGCAGCTCAGATGGGTTAGTGGGGGAAAAAAAGGAAATTTATGTTTAAAAAGTTAAGCACAGGAATAGAAGCACGAAACTTACTTCAAGAATTTAGTTATTCAAGCAGAAGAACCCTGATAATCAGAGTTAACAGTGACACAAACCTCCATCCTTCCTGGATAACTGAAACCCTTTGGAGCTTCAGTGTTTCCATGCTGGGCAATGCAAATGAAAGTAAGACAGCACAAATATGCTTTTGGTGGCCAAATTTATGTCCATGCAGGACATCTGCTAGTCCACTTCACAGAACAAGGCTTCTATGTCCAGAAGAACCACAGTGACACCTCCTTTGGTCTCCAGTGGAGCACAAGATGCCAGACTGCCCTTGAATTTTAACTCCTACTCAAGGGTTGCTTTAGCCTGTTTTGCCAAAAGCCCAAATTTCAGCAATAAATTCTCTGCTAGTCGTTGGAGTGGGCTCCAGGAAGTTCCTCATGTACTTGGTGCAAGCTCTCTGCACCAGGAAGTGACACAAATCACACCAGAGCATCACTGCCAGTCGGCAGGACAGCGTCAACCCCACAGCCAGGACAGGCGGGGCTCACAGAAATACCCTGCCAAGTTTAGACAGGGAAAAAAATGAAAAAAAAAAAAAAAGAATGAATGAGTAGCATTCAGAAGAAGAGCACTCTCTTAATCTGTATTTGCATAGCGATTAATACAACAAAGCCCATGAAGAGTTCAGTTTTTAAACAATATCACAATGTAAATATTTTCCTGCTGGCGCCTCTGCCATCCCTGAGGAGCCAGAGCTGCCTCACACCTGTCTGGTCATGGAAAGGTAAGGAAGAGAGAATTCCCCAGAAGACTGAGGCCCCTGCACACAGCAAGGGTAAATGGTTTAGCACATCAAAAAGGTGTCTTACTCCAAAGGAGGAGGCAGAAGCTGAAAGCAGGACAATGCACTTCAGACAGCAATGAAATGACATCTGCTTCCCACATCTGATTCACAGGCAGGATCATTGAATGATAAAGACCAACACTCTCACATTTCTAAAGTACCTTGAGGGACTTCCCCAGTCCAAAGGCACTCTGGACTTTCAAATCTCGAAAAAGCTTTAGAAAAACATGTTGACTCCACAATTATCTTTTACTCTTCATCTGTCTGGTCTGTGACAAACCCAAACAGAAAAAAAAAAAGCCTTTTGAGACATCTCATGACTACTCCAAACACAAGTATTTGCTACATCTACAGCCTGCCCAGGTGAACCAGTCACCTCTTGCAAGAGACTAGAATCTGTCTCTTTTTGATGTCACCAGCATCCCCCCCAAATCCAACATTTAATGCACCTATTTGAAAAAGTTTATTTAGTGGGAACCCTGCCACTCTGAACAGCTCCATTAGTCTGGGTACAACTCCCCTGAAAACTCTCAGCAACATGCAAAGTACACACCATTCCTGGCTTCCCAGTCCTGCCACCTCCCTACAGCTCAGTCTGGAGATTGTGAGGGCTGATGGATGAGGGCACTTGAAGTCTGGCCTGGTTCACTGCTCAGTCCTGTGATCACCCACTTTGACATGAAGAAGGAGGGGTAAACAGGGTGGGGAAGAGGTCGATACAATCACCCCTTTTGGCAGCAGTCAGAGCAGATCCAGTATTTCACAAACCACATCCCGAGTCGGGCTGTCATCACTGTTACCCAACTCACATGAGACAAAATCCTATTTCTCAAATCAGAAACGCAGAAATCTAATGTGATATTTGTCAAGCAAGCACGTGTTTCAGATTTGAAACCACTTTATGTGGTGAAGCCTCTCTGTTTAAAGACCACTTTGATGGGATTTCAGCAGCCTCTGACAGAATACCCTATAAAGTGCATTGCAAAAATTAATCAGAACACCTCAGTCTAGTTTAAGGTGTTTCTTTTGGCAGCCATCCAACACACAGAAGCACATCTTTAAGAGTGCACTGGGACTACCCATACCAGCTTTATGTTCCCTTCCAAGAGCTTGAAAAAAACCCAAACAATGACATTAAATCCATTCCCTGGCATGACACTGCAAAGGACATTTCTGTAAAACATCTGTGCCAGCAAAGTCCTAAACACAGGATCAATGCACAGGGGGTTTTCAAGGAGTTTGACATAAACTACACTGGAAATGACTGATGCTGGGCAGATCTGTAAGGGCCTCCTCACAAATGCCATTTGGCACTAGAGTACTGCTCTGCTAGGTGAAATTATAAACTCCCCAGAGGTGCCACAGACAGCATCAGAGCCAGGAGCTGAGCCAGCAAGCAAAACCACACAAAGCCAATTTAATTTGCAACAGCCCTTCTTCCAGGCAGCCAGTACCTAAAACCCATGAGGTAAAGGAGCAAGCATCGCTGCATTCACAGGCAGATTGCTGGAATTAAAAATGAAAGACAACGACAAAAAGAAAACAAGAGAATGTGCTTACAGAAAGCTGATGTGCTCTTTGTGAAGGGGAGAGCTCCTGCCCAGGGCAGCAGCCTGGAGGCTTCATAGAGACTCAAGCTGGGAGTCTCAGAATCACAAAATCAATCAGGCTGTAAAACACCTCTGAGGTCACTGAGTGCAACTTGTGACCCAACGCCACCTTGTCAATTAGATCATGGCATAAACCGCCATGTCCAGTCTCCCCTTAAACACCTCCAGGGACAGTGACTTCACCACCTCCCTGGGCAGCCCGTTCCAACGTTTAATCACCCTTTCTGTGAAGAAATTCTCCCTAATGACCTACCTAAACCTCCCCGGTGCAGTTTAAGACTATGTCCTCTCATCATTTGTTACCTGGGAGAAGAACCTGACAACCACTTCGCTCCACTCTCCAGCCAGGGAGTTGAAGAAAGCAAGAACGTTCCCCCCAAGCCCCTTTTTCTCCAGGCTGAGCCCCCACAGCTCCTTCAGCCAGTCCCGGTGCTCCAGACCCTTCCCCATCTGCATTATCCTTCTGTGGACACGCTCCAGCCCCTCGCTGTCCCTCCCGAACACAGAGCCGGGGTGTCCCCGCTCCGGCCGATACTCACATCCGCCCCACGCCCTCGTACATGCGGGTCTCGTCCACCAGCATCATCACCTCCGTGTCGGTGAGGTGCGCGTGCTTCTTGGTCTTGGTGAGCTGCTCGATCTGCAGGTCGGCCAGCTTCACCTTCTGCTGCGTGTCCATCACCTTGGCCTGCAGCTCCGAGAACGCCTGGCCAGGGGAGAGCGCCGGGGTGAGGAGCGGCGGGGGCACAACGGCCCCCGGGCTGCGGGCACGAGGGGACCGGCAGGCCGGCAGGCGACACCGGGGCACGGAGGGGGCCACGCAGTGGGCAGGACACACAGTGGAAGGGTGGGACACAAGTAGGGAACGGACATGAAAGAGGGGGACACGGGCGGGGGTCTCGTACCTTCTTGAGCTCCAGATCCACGGGCGCCGCCATCTTGTCCGGCACGGCGCATGCGCGGAGGGGCGGGGGCAGCCAGGGCCCCACCCACGGACGGGACGCGCTGTGGGACCGGCACCGGTACCGGCACCGGCACCGGCACCGACCAGGGCGGGGAATGCTGTGGGACCGGCACCGATACCGACCAGAGCGGGGAATGCTGTGGGACTGGCACTGGCACCGACAGGGCTGGGGGATGCTGTGGGACCGGCACCGGTACCGACCGGGCCGGGGTTCCCGTGAGGGCTCCTCACACCCCGCGGTGCCCGGATATCCCCGGGCCGCTTGGGGTTGGAGAAGGCCCGGAATGGCCAGAGGGTGAGAACCATCCCTGCCTTAGCTGTGAATCATGGAATGTTAAGGAGCTGGAAAGGACCTCAAAGATCATCTCATCCCAAGTCCCCCCTGCCATGGGCAGGGACACTTTCCACTATCCCAGGCTGCTCCAAGCCCCATCCAACCTGGCCTTGGACATTCCCAGGGATGGGGCAGCCACAGCTTCTCTGAGCAACCTGTTCCCATCCCTCACAATAAAGAATTTCTTCCATCTATCTAACCTAAATTTTCCTTCTTTCAATTTGTGCCTATTACTCCTTGTCCTGTCACTTCAGTTCCTGATGAAGAGTCCCTCTCTGGCTTCCTTGGAGGCCCCCTCTGACACTGAAAGGTTGCAATGAATTCTCCATCAACCTTTCCTTCTCCACCAGAACAGCCCCAGCTCTCTCAATCTGTCTTCATAAGGAAGATCCTCCGCTCCTCTTACCAACTGCGTGGCTTCCTCTGGACTTGCTCCAGCAGTTCCATGTTTTTCTTACGTTAGTGACACCAGAACTCTATATGACAAAGGGGAAGAATCACCTCCGACCTGCTGGCCATGCTCCTTTGGATGCAGCCCAGAATCCTGTTGGTTTCTCTCTGGATCAAGGCTCTCTAGCAGAGCCAGCAATTCCCCCACTCTCACTTTTCCCCAGGGAAGAACTGATTTGGAGGTTATTTTTGCTGCAAAGTAAGGAATCACTGTATGAAGTGGAGCTTGCTGGAATTATCTCAGCTCCAGGAACCGGCAATGACCCCACGAACAGCTGGGATTCCTTTCAAGAGAGGTGTGAGCCTACCTCAGGATTTTTTTTTTTTTGCCAAAGCATAGAACCATCATAAGATTATTTGGTGGGAAGGAAAATCCAGTCCACTTTCCAGTGGACCAGGTTGCTCAAAGCCACAGGTTATAGGGCAGCCACAGCTTCTCTGGGGAACCTGTGCCAGTGTGTAAATACCAAATGCTGGCTTAAAAACAGGGACCATTCCCATTTGAATGGATCAGTGGCCAGAGTAGCTTTAGTTATACTAGACACAGATCTGCTTGGTGAGCAGACAAACATCACACCCCTCCCAAAGCACCAGCTGGCAAGATGGAGAAAATCTCTGAAATAATCCACATGGGGCCAAGCTGAGATGGATCCTGCCCCCAGCCCCTCACACCACACTGCTCCCCAAGGATCACATAATCTGATCCAGCAGCCCTGACCACACACTCAATCTCTGCTGCTGTTGACAGTACACCACCAGCATGGAACTGGTGCTGAATGCACAATTCTGACTCCTTCCCACCTCCACGATTAAATGAACAACCCAAGTGTTTGTTACAAAGTGTTATTTATTAGAATATTACATTGCACTTAAAAAATAAGGGAGGTCTGACCCTATCATTTTGGCGTACATGAAGGATGCAAAGCCAGACCTACAATAAATATAAATACTATGTACAGTTTATCTAAAATAAATATATAATTTAAAATGAAAAATATCTTGTTAAATAGCTGTTACCCTCCCTCCCCCCATCTCCTGCGGCGAAGGAAGCCCCGAGCTCGGTCTCCTCCCTTTCACAGCTTGTTCCTCGGCACACACTGCAGTGGACGGAGAGCCCCTGTGCCCCCGGCCAGCACCGCTCCCGAGCCCGTTCCGTCGCGGAGGTGGCCACGGAGCTGCCGCAGTGTCGCCGCTGCCCCAGCAGCCCCGCCGGTGCCGTCCTGGCGCTCCAGCGAGCCCCCAGCTTGCCACAGCCCCGTGCCGCGGGCGCCGCGGTCTCGCCTCTCTTCCAGGAGGTAGAAGTGCATTAGTGCCGACCCCTGCAAGAGACAGGCGGGAGAGCTCACACCGCCATCCTGGGCTGCTCTGCGCTCCCTGAGTGCTGGGATGGAGATCCCGACCCAGCCAGCCCAGTGGGAGAACCCTGGTGCCCACCCAAGGCCAGCAGTCACTCGCCACCCCTCGGGGCTGGGCCCAAGGTATTCCACCACGCGTCCCTTCCGGGGACCGTAGCACTTTTTCCCTTGGACACATCCACCCCCGTAATCCCCAGGGTAAAGGGAACAGTGAGGAAAGCCTTGTGCCAAATCTCCTTCCTGAAAATTCAGCCCCTATGAACAGCTCAAATTCCCACCCCCAACGCTGTGATGAGCATGACATAAATTCTCCGAAGGCATTACTTCATCCTCACAAAGAACAATGACTTTTCTTTTTTTTTTTAAAGAAGAGAAGTAACTGTAATATGTATGACCACATCTAACGTCAGGATTTAGATCAGATCAGAGGAAGTTTGACAGATATTCAGCACCCGGCCCTGCTGCCACCCCTGGGGCAGAGTACACACCCCAGCCCAGCCAGAGGAACACGATGTGGGCTGGCAGCAAGACCCTCCGTGCCAAGCTGATAGGCACTGCTTTGGTGCAAGTAATAAGCAGAATGGGAATGAAAAGGAAAGGGGTTTTTTACACATGTATATAAATAGAGGCAATATCTAAGGAGGGGAAGTGACTCAGAGGGTCAGAGAGGGAGCAGGAGTGGAAAAAAAAAAAAAAAAAAAAACCTAAACAAAACAGAAGCAGCTCCCCTACTACCAAACATCCCCAAAGGATGGAACACCAGCACAGAGCAGAGATTTGGGGTTAGAAAGAAGAAGGTAGGAATGATAGTGGTGCCAGGGAACAGGGATTTCAGCAGGAAGGAGAGAAAAGAAGACTGGAGCCCCACAGGACAGTCCAGACTCAGGCTGCCTTCAGCTCCTGCCCAGCTCTGACACAGGATCCACACAGCAGAGCCCCCGCGATGTCCACCAGCCCCACTGTTGCCCCATGCCCAGCCAGGGACTCACCTCGCCAGCACCTGGCATCCTCAGTGATTCACAGTGATGCCCAGCTTGATTTTCTCTTCGTTTTCTACATCGTAGCCACCTCTCTTGTGACACCTGCTAGACCAAGCAAAGGGATGCTCAGGACATGGAGAAGCCCCTGCCCCCCTCCTTTTGCACACAATCTTCCCAGGGACACAAATGTGAGAGCTCAGTGCCATCCCACTCACCTGAGCATCAGCAGGGCTGCGATGATGACGAGACACAGGGAGGACAGGACGACAGCAACGACAGCCAGGGCTGTGGTGTGGTCGTAGGCGCTGGGCGGGTGCTCCACCGGCAGCAAGAGCCCGTGGCAGCGCTCTCCATGATAGCCTGGCTGGCATCTGGGCAAGACAGAAACTCGTAAAGGTCAGTGGGAACAAGGACAGGAGGTCTTCGTGTCCCCCACACCCCATGGGAAGGCGATGCCTCTGTGCTCAGCCTTAACCAGCACCCTGCCTGCTCCCCTCAGTCCCCACACCCCTGAGCTGGGAGGTCTGATGTCACCAGCATCTCTGTAGTACTGGTAAATTTAGCTTCTCCTGCACCTAGTGAAGGTTCCTAGAAAGGTTGAGCTCTCCCTCAGTAGAAAGCACTGGGGTCTGTGCTCTTCCCAGTTACCCCCAGGCAGACACTGGTTGCCCAGGCCACCTCTGGAAGTGGGAAGAGAGCAGTGAGGCCCAGCATTTCCCATGGAGCAGGATGTCCCTGCACACCCTGCCAGCTCAGAGGTGTCCCATCCCTGGAGACTTGGGAGGTTGCTCATGTAACAGAAATAAAGCTCCACAGAGGCTGGGAAGCTTCCAGCCTTCCCTGAGCCACATTGCACTGATGCAACCAGATAAATATATCCCTCTATATCCAGCACCACTGACCCTCAGGCTGATCTCCAAGCCAGACTCAGCCCAGCCCTCCTCCTGGGCTCTCAATGCCACATGCCAGCATCACCTTCCAGGCACAGCAGCAAGGCTGGGCACATGGCAAAGGTGCAGGATCTATTCCTCATTCCACCCTGTGCCCCAGGAAGCAACACTCCTAGAAACCCTGTGACAGGCACAGCCAAGACCTGCCACAACCAGGTGACACCGGGCAACACAAGGCCTCTTTATCAGAGGAGACTGGGGCAGTTGGCCACGGTTACTAAAAGCCCTGATGGCTCTGAGAGATGCCACCCAGGGATGGACCACCGTGCAGAAGAGACACAGCTGGGCCCCAAATCCCTGCTGCTTGCCTGTGTCCCAGGTTCTCTCCCAGCCCCAGGGATCTGGGCAGGGGACACCTGGCTGTCCCAGTCCTAGGCCAGGGTGTTGCAACCCACATTGTGCTGGGTCACCAACGTAAACTGAACCTGCAAAGATGTTCCCTCACTGGCAGTCCTGAGCCCCCGTGCAAGGCCCCAACTTCATAACAGCTTCAACAGGGAGAAACTAGGGAGTTAGAGGAGCTCTGTGGAGCTTGATCCCTGCAGATTGCAGATCCTGTGGGCACCATAAGCCAAGGAGCTATTATCTTCCCTGGGCTCAAGGCTAGGTGGCTCAGAGGATTGATAGTGAAGAACAAAGCCTCTTACATATCTGCCAGCTCAAGTCCTGCCCACGTCAGCAGGGATCAAATATGCACCCTGGGGTACTTCCTGCAGCAGCAGTGCTGTATCCAGGTGCCCCAGCAGAGGTAAACACTTTCTCCTCCGTTGCCTTGTCTCCCTGCTTGTTCTGCACCCAAGGGGGGTGGGCAAGGAGGGGTACACGGCCCTGTCTTTCATCAGACTAAGGGACAGCTCAGGCATGGCTTTGGCAGGCTGTCCCCAAAGGTACTACCTCCACTCTGCTTTGCTGGTAGCATGGCA